TACGGTATCTAATATTTACAGGGCTACATAACAATAGGAGGAATGTCTCCGGCCTGGGATGCTATGGCAGCAGGAGACAGATTGAATTTCTTCGTGTAGGTACAGATAAAAATAGATGTAATTATTACATATTTATGTTTTTATTTTTACTTCACAAACTGGGCAGTTGTATTATGTTTGCAATTTTATTGTTAATGTTATTGCATTTCACTTAATAATTAATCATAGGTCTGACCAACCTCTATCTTTCTGACACTTTTTCTGTAAAACAGATTGCATCAAATGTGGGCCATTTAGTATTTAAGACTTATGACGTCATTCTTTTGTTACGTCACATAATCTTCATAATGCATGATCACCGCCATAGGTTTGACCTGTATAAAGCTATTCGCCACTCATTCCATGATGTACATTTTACTAAATATAACCCATCTATCATCACTCGGCAATCCTCGGCTGACTCCGGTACACTCCATACATATTGTCGAGTGCGCGAGACATCCGAGTAGTTCTGAGTGATGTATCATTGAACAATTGTGACGTCATACCGTTATTACGTCATACAATACTCTTTCCACAGGTTTGACCCGTCTCCTGCCACTCGTCACTCATTCTGGACAATGCTTATTGGGACCACCTTTCTGTCCATTGGGTTCTCTTGTTTCAACCAGGCCAGTGTACAGAGGATTGGCTCCGTCAAGACGGACAAAGATGCAGTAAAGTTAGTTAATATATCGTGCTGAATGTACACTTTCGATCACTACTGATTTGTTAGGTACAGCTCAAGTAAATGTAGAATTAGAAAAGTTTAAGAGTATAATATAATTGTCAACATATTGACCTAGAATCTGAAGGTTTAAGGTGGCTGTCAGGCTTACTGATATAAAATACATTAAGTGAATTTTTTCGTGCATGTAATTCTTCAATAATGTATGTACCGTTTTGCTAAATCAACACTGATTTAGCATATGGAGTAGACAACAAATTGGAGAAGTATGTGAACTTTGCAACCGTGTTTTAAAATGCAAAGTGCCTCAAAATTTACACCATTATTTTAACAGATATATATGAAAACAGCACCATACTTTTTAATCCCGAATTAAGTTAATCTCGTTTCACACTTTTTTCATATAGGGCTGTGCTGATGAACGCACCATTTCTGCTGGTCCTTACCGTCCCTGCCGCCCTGTGTGGAATAGCAGTTTACACACATTACACTTTGCTGAGGTGTGACCCGTTAAAGATGAAATACGTCAAGAATGAGAACGAGGTGATGACAACTTGCAGTGCCTCTATGTTTGTCTAACAGGCCCGTGGATCAAATATGGCCGACCCACTTGGATGCTCGTTGCGTAATCACCGCGGGGAATATGTTTAGTGTTTAATCGCGAATTGAGCGGCAAGCTTTTTAGTGGGTCGCCATATTTGATCCGCAGATCTGTTAGTCCGCTGTTCTGAATGTATTTCTGTCTGTATTTCAGCCCGTCTATCTTCCCAACTATCCACATTTTCAACGCCTCTCACCCTCTCTCTCTCTCTCTCAAACTTGGGTGTGACGATTCTATTTTTAGACAGCATATTTTCATCTTGCTCCTTGTCTTAAGATGTCCCTCAAAATTCAACATCTTTGCGTCTATTTTCTAGTGTGTTTCCTGTGATATAACTACGAGCTTACTTTCTCCATAGATTCTATACTATCACCCTTAGTCAAATAATTCTCCCACTTTTTCACTAAAATGCTTCTTATTTATAGCTACTGGCTTATTATGTGATGGATGTTCTGCAAGATTTGCCGGGAGTTCCCGGTCTGTTTATTGCCGCGCTGATGTCGGGCGCTCTCAGGTATATTGTGATATTATGTTGTCTTTTATTTTAGAAAAAATCTTGAAAAGGTTGGTATAATGCAATATGTCCTTTAAACAGTCCGGGGTTAAGTTTTTTATCTTTATCGTTCCCTCTTTTAATTAATAAATAAATTAATTAATTAATACTTTTTTTACGTAACTTACGTATTTTGGGGATTTATTACGTGAAATTATGGTGTGCTTGTTGGCTTTTTTCCTTGTTTTGTTATGGATATCTGTTGCGCCTAATTTTTTATCATTTTATCTCTTACATCAAATAAAATTTATATATGATAATTTAAAAGGAACAGATAGATAGATATATAAAGATACAGAGAAAATACACCGACGTTGTTAAAAGTTGTATCATTTTGAATTTTCTCCAGTTCTAATTCCTCTTCTCTCAACGGCATAGCTGCAATTTTATGGGAGGATTTCCTTAAATATCGGTATGGCAAGATTAGCGACTGGAAGGCGGCGCTTATAGCCAAAATAACAGGTAATTCCTAAATGGACTTTCGCACCATTCCTGATTAGATAATTATAAATTATTTCGCTCACCATTTCATGGATTGAGTCTTTGTAGGGTCACGAAAATACGTTTGTTTGGAATCGAATTCAACTTTTACTTTCAATTTGGAATCAAATTAAACTTTGAATTTAAAGTAATAGACCCACTTCTGCCCCCTGGCTTTTAGTACTTTTTCAGTCTGTTTGCATTTGTTTCTAAATTTCGCTCTTCGTTTTTTGCTAAAATATGTGTTCACATTAATTTCTTGCATATTATTATTATTATTATTATTATTATTATTATTATTATTATTATTATTACTTTATTGCTACCTGATTTCAGTTATCGTGTTTGGTGGTATAGGGACCTTGGTAGCATTCATGGTGACTCTAATAGGTGGAACAATATTCCAGGTATGTAATCTAAAGTATCTAATAACATTAATTCATCGTACAAATCAGATAAGTTTCATTATTCTTAAAATAATCATTATCGTATCGCATTATTATGATAATTAGTGTAATACTATAATCATCATTAGTGTAACATTAATAATAATAATAATAATAATAATAATAATAATAATAATAACTATTGATTTTGTTAGATTTAGCTTGCTTTTACCTATGATATTGAAGAGTACAATGGGATCAAACGCGGTTCACAGCAGGCGGGTTTTAGTTTCAGCGAGGCCCTAAATAGTGGAAATGTTCAAACGTGTAAGAACTGGCGCGATTTCCATTCAAGCATTTGCGGCAATGCAGATGTCGAGTAAAACATATTTGGCTAATAATTCCGCCGAGAACATGTCATTTTTTCTGCTGATCGCGGTTAACAGGTGGTATGACGTGTGTTATACCGGAAAGCCACTGGATCATTTCAAGTTCGATCGGTTTCATTGATATACCGCTCAGAACGTTCCTACTTGGATGGTCGCAGATGTCTTTATTTAATTTTATTTTGCACTGAGATAACGTTTGTTTCCACCTTTGATATATATATCTATTTGGTCTTATTTTAAAGGTCGAAAGGGGTTCATTAACCATTGTTAATAATGGGAAAATTACCGTTTACCGCAGAAAAAGCCCATTTCTTACCTTTAAGGGTGCCGTTAAATGAAGGTCGACGATGGAAAATGAAAACACGTTTCAGTTAAAAGAAAATGTATTTTTTTTTTACTTTTCAGATTGCACTAGGGTTTGATGGTGCCACCAACGGGCCGTTATTCGGTCTTTTCTTTCTGGGTATTCTGTGTCCGTTCGCCAATTGGCAGGTAAGATATCTGCTGTGGTTCTAAGGTTGGACTTTGAATTCAACAATTGCAGGAATCCACTGGCATTGTGAAGTTTATGTTAAAAAAGGAACTTTTTGAGTAGTAATTTTTGGTACAAAAATGAATTCCTTTAGTTTCTCTGTAGTAGCTAACTCAGTTTAAACGATTTCTTGAAAGGAACAGTCTAAATCACAAAATATAATACTTCTTGACAAAATAAGTTGGCACACTTATATCACACTGCTTAAACACATCTAAATTAATTGTGTCTGCTCTTGAACTTGTAGATTTTGAAATGATTTAATAATATTTTCTTAGATATCCATTTAAATATTCACTTCAAGAGACTAAGTAAAACTTTAAACACGAAGTTTTTTGTTTATGCACTCAATATATATATAGTATTTATATTTTACAAACACAGTAAAAAAATCCCTTAACTAGGCTATTAAAGAAATATTTCTCATAGCCGGGTTCAGAATTTATTCACACCAAAAATAATCTAAATGTCTTCAGCCAGCCGTATTCAAGACACACTGTTACACTCAGCCCTTTCGTATTTTATAGGGGGCTCTAACAGGGGGAGCCACCAGCGTTGCCATTCTACTGTGGTTGAATATTGGCAGTCAACTTACATCATCCACTTCTTATAATCCCATTCTGCCGTCCGTTCCCAGCGACCGCTGCGAGATTAACGCCACCGTGAACGAGACTTGGACATATGGCGTCACGACTGTTTGGAATGCTCAAAGTAACGTCACAACCCTTGGTGCTGTAATGAGTGGAACAGGGTCACAGTCTTAGTAAGACATATTAACTCCTATGTTGATAATACATAAGCCCTACACGTATAGAGAGCCATCGTGTCTTTTTTTAATACTAATGCATCCGGGCCATAAATAAAAATTATCCTATACATGACCCCGTAAACTGTATTTCAAATGAATATTACCCATAGACGTCATATTTTAAATTGCTAAGCAATTTTATTTTACATTTTCAGTTCAGGATTAAACGGATTTTATGCCACGTCCTATTTGTACTATTCACCTCTTGGTATCCTTACCACAGTATTGGTTGGGGCTGCTGTCAGCGCCATCATCAGTAAGTACATGTAGCAACTGGTAGTCGCGTAAGGTTTAAGTGCGTGGTTGAGGTACGGGGGAAGGGGGGGGCAGCTGGGGGTCTAAAAAGCTGGGTGGTCAGGGGAGGATTCACAAAGCCAGGCGTACTGCCTTCTATCGCGTATAAATCATTTTCCAGTCGTTTGGTGATCTTTCCATAGGAACTATATTTGCAATTTCGTTGCATATTGTGACATAAAGTCAAAATGCATATCTTAAACAATATTTGAATTATTCATTCAATTGTTTTCAGATCGTTACACGCGCAGACAGCCGTATTTTGACAAGAATTTGGTGCTAAGGCCCTTACGACGTTTCGTTCCCAGCAAAACGAAATACGCATACGAGTTGGAAGCGACCCCGCCAACCGAGGAAAGTTGTCAGTCAGCGTTAACTGACTCGTAAACTGTCTTGCCCACCAATGGTTACATTCGCAACAGCGGGCTAATAGATCCCACTTGAATGCTTGTCGCTTAATTCTCGCGGGGAATGTATTCAGTGTTTACAAGGGGATTATGCCGCAAACTGTCAAGTGGGTTGGCCTTATTTGATCTCTTACTCCGCGTATCTATTCGTTCTGAATGTGGCCATTCATATATCTAGCCGACGTGAGAGAGCCAGCGCTAGTCTAACAGAATGTATCAAATTCAGACATATCCCATTGATTAAAGACCTACGTAAATAACATGACAGAATCGATATGTAGTTTGGGGCATGTAAAGAGTAACATTCCGTTTTTTACTACATTCAAAGCAATACAATATAACATGTCTCATTATGGTTACATTTTGTTATGGAAAATTTGTGCTACAGCTGAATATGTAAAAAGTAATATTATATTACTTTTAAAAGCAAGATGTTGTAAACAAACATTGCAACTCTGCGGTCAGAGTTTCAGGTTTGGGGCACGACCAACAGACAACGCGTAGAGGCTGATTCAAATCGCCTTTGAAGTTTCTAAAAAAGAGGGTCTACGTTGTATGTGACTTGTGTGTTGTTATTATTGTTTTTTTAAATGACATGGGTCGTCGTTTTATGATAAGGTCTAGCTGTGTCTTTTAGATATCACAGCCGAGTTCTACTTAAAAGTAGTGCTAAGCAAAATTGATGAACGATATATGCATCGTTGCCTGGCAACACAAGATATTGCTGGCAGAGGCCCACCCCTTTAAAATGGCCCCATCGGGTCGAATAAAAAATGGAAAACTATGGATATGAAAATTAAGAATAATTTTAGTTCACATTGATTTTCACTTGGAATAAGCCAAATAAATGGTTGGTCATACGTAGTCCTAGTATTTTCACACTTTCGTATTGTTTGGCGACTCATCAGACTCCAAAACATGTGAAAAGCATTGTTCCAATACCTCGCTTCCGTTGTTTTCCGCCAAGGGACCAATTACTCTACTTTTCATGTCGCTTAAATCGAACTCGCCTTGAGAATCGTTCTGTTCACACAGGGTAATATCAGAGCCATTTTTGCTGAGCGCCGCCATGTCTACACTGCCCGGCAGGTCGAATTTACGCGTGCTTGGGTCCGTCGTCTCTTTAAAAAAACCGTGATTGGTATACATAGTCAATACAACAGCTTGAGCCTCATTGGGGTATCCTTCTCTCGGGTCTAATGTAAGAGGGCGCCGCTGAGACGCTGGCAACGAATCTTGTATCTTTAAGAGCTTCTTAAACTCCGACCTGAAAGAGTCCATCCTGAAGGCGTAAATGATTGGATTGACTGCCGAGTTTGCAACAGCGAGATGCGTCACGTGACTGCGCCAGTTTTCCCATGTTTCGGAATAGATCAGATCAGCGTAGATTTGAATGGCCATGATAATGAAGAACGGGTACCAGCACAGGATGAAAAGACCAATTACAATAGATGCGGTTTTGGCAATCCGAAGGTTGAACCGGAAGGTGCTGCACCCTGTATCTCCAGGCATGATCCTAGTTGCCTGCTCGTGCGATATACTAAATATCTTCCAATACAACCCCACCATACACAGGGTGTTAATTATAAAAAGCGGGAACGCCAGCAGTCCCAAATATTCCCATCTCATCACCTTGACAAAATCACATTCGTCATCCGGGATGTCGTCCCAGTCGTTATGCCACATCATCGGCAAGATCAAAGAAAAAGCTAAGGCGGCGACCCAAATAGCTATCACAATGCGACGTGCCCTCGTTTTCGTCATGATCACGTGATAGCGTAGCGGGTACACTATTGACACGTGCCTGTCCACCGCGATGGCCAGCAGGAGAAGAACTGAAACCGTGAAGGTCACTTTTATGGAGCAATACCTAGAAATGAAAAAAGTGAAATTGCTCAATAGAGCAAGAAGCTGATGACTAAAATAAATAAATCTAAATGTATTAAAATATAACGCAAAATCAAGGAAAGATATCATAATGATAAGTTTATTTAAAATCATATCAGGTTGAAGTTGTGAAACTTTATGAGCTCAAATAAGAACTAGAGGATCAGAGAGGCGATACCGCCTCCGAATATTGTACCACCAGCTGGAGCAAGCGCATTCGTATAGACCCCCACATACACAAAAGAAGGGACACAGCCACCAGTCTTATGCTTGACAAGCTGTAAAAATGCAATCAACAAGAATTTTCAAAATAAGCAAAAAATATATATAACTTAAAATGGTACAATCAAAGTTAAGTTCATCGTAAGGTAGGTCAAAGGTCAATTTCAAGGTCACAGTAAATTGCCAGGATATGACTTCCTATTCAACTTTAATGGTAACTATGGACCTATTTCTGCCAGGTTTGGAGTTAAAAGAGAAAGAAATTTGCAAAGTTCAGTTCATAGTGAAAAGTAGGTCAAAGGTCAATTTCAAGGTCACATTTAGATTGCCAGTATATGACTTTCCATGCAAGTTCAATAGAAACTATGGACCT